AACCACTCAGAGTATGGATTTTGGGGCCTAAAGCCTAATTATTTGGGTTCTCGGACCCTCTGGGTGAAACGGCCGTGCAAAGAGGAAGCCAAAATCTCCCAAGTGAGCTGCCTGGGAAGACTTTGTTCACCGTGCGGCCATACTGCGCCACGCACGTCGCCCTGCCTGGTCGTCGTTCTATGAATCTGGGTAGCTGTCTAAATTAGGGTCCCTTTTCGGGTCCTTTTTATTAAGGCTGCCGTACTATATTGGGGACCCAAAAAGGGACCCTAATTTAGAGAACTACTCATCTGGAGATCGTGCTTGTTAAAGGGCTGCTTCAATGCAAACGGTCCCTATAGTAAACCCCAAAAAGTTGGAAACCGGATCAAGGACAAATCGTGCTGGGATTCCCTATACATTACTCTGAAGGGCAGTGTGGCTAGTGAGTTTCCAACTTTTGGGCTTCTACTGTAAGGTTTTGGGTGAGGGTTTAGGGGTTTAGGAACTATGTGAGACCCTGGATGATTCATAGGATCCTTCTCCAGAGACCCCCAAAACGGATCCCGAAGTCTATTCGTAAGTAGGGTTATAAGTACCTTAATTGGGCTTATAAGTAGTTATAACTATAGTTACCTTATTTATAACCTCAGTTACTAAGTCCCATGATCCTTTAAGTATAAGAACCGAGCGAGATATCTGGTCATTTCGGACTAATCAATGTTTGACCTAAACGCTATACCTGAACTAAACCGCTACATAAGCCGCAAAACACGCACGAGCTCTAGACTAGACCCGAAACTCACAACTTGAATCTCAAGCCCTGCAAAAACGAAAACACTCGCCTTGGAAAGCATCTTGGCCACTGAGCTGCAGGAGGGCCAGGTCGTCCACAGGGCAGGCGCCCTCATGCTCGTTCAACAACGTCGTAGGGTCTACCCTACAAAACCCACCTTGTAAACTCAAATTCTCTGACTTTAGGAGTAAGGGATCATGAGTACATTCTAAGATCTGGATTGGGGTTCGGTGTTTCTGCCATTGGCCCCACTCCAAAACCCCCTGAATTATGGAATGTCTTCCAAATCATGTCAGCGGCACCTCTACAATTTCTGGTAGGTAGCTAGCCTAATTAAGGGACTTTTCGGAGGGTCTAAGAATATCTAGAGTCTGGGGCTTCGTAGGCTTGTTTATCAGACCCATACCAAGATGTGAGCAGGAGGCCCTGTGAGCATCATCGCCAGCCGATCGAACCCCTAAACCTTGAACCCGTAGCTGTCACGCTTGTGAGACTAGAAATGCTTTGACTCTTTTCTTCAACAACAAGGCCCAAACAAGTTCAAACTTTTGAGGATGGACCTAATATATAAGGCCAAAAGGCTTAAAGTTCTCCCATTGGCTATCTAAGTTGAAGGTGGGCATTCGGTTTCGATGCTACATACCTCGGCAGTCGCAAGGTTGCCCTTCTGCTCCATGCACTTGAAACGGGCTCCAGCATCGGGTACAATTCGAAACTACACACCCATGGCTTCCGAAACACTCAGCCGAGATATCTTCCTTCTTATTGTTTGAATCATGCAATACGGTTGATGATATACATACTGCATTACCCCATAGTAAGGAATATACCATAATTCCCATAGTTTAGGGTCCTTAAGGTAATGCAGGCTTTCTATCATCAACAGTATCGCGGACTTGGGTTTCCCTAAAAGAGAGTCCTCCGGCCACTGCATTGGCTCAGCATAGCGCGGAAGCTGGACGGGTCTTGGAAGCTTTGGGCAGCAACTATCTTACAGCCGGAAGATGAAACTGCATCATCCGGCAGGTCGAAATCACTGAGAGACCGCAAGCCTCGAACGAACACGCTGTCATGACTTATTAGATATCTTTGGTGCAATGCTGTGGACGATGCCAAGGACGATGGACTATTCCTTGTATACATATTAAGAAGGCGATCGGCGGTTCCCTGAGAGCTGGAGCAAGGAACAAATGGGACTTTCCGAAAATTCGGGCACCTTATTTTGGGGTCTATTGTAAGGATACTACTATTTAGGGTACTATACTNNTCCCCTATTTTCGGAAACCCACAAATGGCAGACTTGGAACCTGTGCACTGACATGTCGGAGGGCTGTTCGAAGTAACAGCTTTCCTTCGAGGCGTCTGTTGTCTTATAGGCAACCTCACACTTGGAAGGACCCCTTAATTTCCTTACGGAAAGGGACCCAGATTTGGAGCAGCGACCACGTTCGGGTATACTATACATGCAGCTACAAACTCATTGGCTTTCGAAATCAACACAGGAAGTCAAACCGACGCATCAAATATAGGGGCCTTGATAATAAGAAT